TGGCCTTTCTAATTTTGTCCCTGCACATCCTTAAAACATCCTTATAGTCCTCCTGAGTGGCCTGCCCTCTTTTCCAAAGGTCATAAACCCTCTTTTTTTCTCCTAAGCTTAAGCCACAACTCTCTGTTCAGCCAGGCCAGTCTTCTACGCCAGCTCGTCTTTGGGCACGTGGGGACAGACCGCTCCTGAGCCATTAAGATTTCCTTCTTGAGGAGTGCCCAGCCTTCCTGGACTCCTCTGCCCTTTGGAACTGCCTCCCAATGGACTCTGCCAACCAATGTCCTCAGCAGCACAAAGTCGGCCCTCCAGAAGTCCAAGACAGCAGTGTTAGTGGTCTCCCTCCTGGCTTCCCCAAGAATAGTGGACTGCACCATTTCATGGTCACTCTGCCCAAGACAGCTTCTGACAACCACATCCTCCACCAGTCCTTCTCTGTTTGTGAAGAGAAGGTCTAGCGGGGCGCCACCCCTGGCAGGCTCACTAACCAGCTGTGTCAGGAAGCTGTCTTCCACTCTCTCCAGAAACCTCCTAGACTGCTTTCTCTGGGCTGTGTTGTGCTTCCAGGATATGTCAGGGAAGTTGAAGTCCCCCAAGAGTACAAGCACTGAAGATTTTGCAACTTCTGTCAGCTGCCTGTAGAACTCCTCATCCGTCTCCTCATCCTGGTTCGGCGGTCTATAACAGACCCCCACCAGGATGCTTGCCTTGTTGGCCTTCCCGCTGATCCTAACCCAAAGGGACTCAACCTTAACCCATAGGGACTCAACCTTATCATTCCCAGCCTCAAATTCCATGACATCAAAACTCTCTCTGATACAGAGAGCCACACCACCACCCCTCCCGTGCTGCCTGTCCCTTCTGTAGCCAGGCATTGCAGCACTCTAGTCATGAGAGTGGTCCCACCACGTTTCCGTGATGGCAACCAAGTCATAGCCTGCCTGCTGCATGATGGCTTCCAGCTCCTCCTGTTTGTTACCCATGCTGCGTGCCTTAGTGTAGATGCACTTCAGTTGGGCCATTGCCTTATCCCCCGGCCTAGCCATTGTTACCCTTGGCACATCTCCAACAAGCGTTATTTCAGCCCCATCCCCCTTCTTAATTAGTTTAAAGCCCGCTCAGTGAGCCCTGCCAGCTCCTGGGCTAGGATCCATTTTCCCCTTAGAGATAGGTGGGACCCATCTGCAGCCATCAGGCCGGGTCCCAGGTGGTAAAAAACAAAAACAACGACAAAATTTCTGTGTTGGCATCAGCTTCTGAGCATTGTGTTTATCAAGTGGGCTTTCCAAGTCCTCTCTGTCCCTCTCTTTCATTGCTGCCAGCCTGGACTGTTAAAAGAGGATAATAGTCAGAGGGGCGAACCAGGTTGGGAAGCTTTTTGGCAATGTCCCTGACCCTGGCCCCAGGGAGGCAGCTGACTTCTATATGGGTAGAGTCAGGCTGACAAATAGGTCCCTCTGTTCCCCTGAGAAGGGAATAACTAGAGACAATGGGTTTGTGTACAAACCTGGATAACTAAGCCTTTCCTTTCATTACTACCACAGTGCCCTTTGTGGACACGTGTCCCCAGGGCTGGATCTGATGCAACCCTGCAGTCGTGCAATTCCTCCTTGGCACAGTGCAGGAGAGCCCTGCCTGGAGAAAAGGCTCACCTGAATCATAGTTGGCTTCATGGAAACAGGAATTGCTGCACTTTGGCAATCTCCCTTCCTCCTCATTTCACTGTTTTCTTCAGCCTCAGCATTTTGTGTGTGCCTCTGGACACCCCTCTCGCAAGAAGAGAGCGAGGCACTGAGAATCCAGGACTGCTGCTGGCAGAGCTCATACAGCCTTGTTGATCTGCAGTGCTGGGGTCCCAGGTCACTTTCTGTCTCATTTATGGTGCTCAGGTGGTTTCTTTTGGGTATCATGCTGCAGAAGGCCATACTGAAGTGTTATCAGAGCGTCTGCAGCATGTGTTGAAGGCAGATGGCACAAGGCTTTGCCACACATCAGCACCTTTTCCCTTTCCCAGTGCTTCAGCAACCATCTTTACAATGTCTGGGGTTTGGGGCATGAAGATGGTGCCTCCTCCTTTACTTTGGGTGCTCTGAGATGAGGGTGAAGCTGCATCCCAGGATGGTGGCTTGCAGACAGCTCTTGTGAAAAGCGTCACCATCCCAGGTTTGCATGGGGGCTACAGCCCCGGGTATGCAGTGAAATCCTGCAGCTATGAAATGGCCCTCTAATATAATCCTGAAGGCCTTGGCGATGCTTTTGTTTAGTCTCCTCATCGGGCAAATATTTCTCAACATCTATTGGGAAATTTCAAACACCTCATCACTGATTTATTGTGCTTCTCTTCTTTTTGTTGGACTATCGCATTGCAGGCTGGTGCGTCGGAGGAGTGGGAGAGGAGTGATGCAGGAGGGGTCACCTGCAGCTTTCAGCAGCAAGGCAGAAATCTACTGGTGTTGCAGCATCCCCAGCAGCTCCAGAGACACTGCTGCAAGAGGTCTGCCACCTCTCCTGCAAGAAAAAGGGTTACTTTATGCAGTAAGGGTTTGGTAGCAGGGGGGGTTGTAGAGGTGGTCTCTGTGAGCAGCACCCAGCAGCTGCCCCATGCCAGAGCAGAGCCAGCTCCAGCTGCTCGAAAAGGGACCTGCTGCTGACCAGAGCTGAGACAGTGTGAGATGCTGCTCTGGGAGAGCAGATTGAAGTGACGGAAAAAAAAACAACCCTGCTGCACAACAGCAGCTGGGAGTGAGAGGAGTGAGGAACAGCCCTGCAGCCCCCACGGGCAGTGCAGCAGGAGGGCAGGAGGTGCTGCAGGCAGGCAGCAGCAGTTCCCCTGAGGGCTGTGCAGGGAGAGGCCCCTGGTGGAGCAGGCTGTCCCCCTGCAGCCCATGGGTCCCCCATGGAGCAGATCTCCACGCTGCAGCCCCCCCATGGGTGGAGGAGCCCCCGATGGAGCAGGTGGATGTGGCCTGGAGGAGGCTGTGGCCTATGGAGAGCCCCTGCAGGAGCAGGGGTCTGGGGGGAGCTGCCCCCACCCGTGGGGGACCCGTGCTGAGCAGTTTGCTCCTGGGGGATGGATGGACCCCATGGTATGGAGCTGTGTGGGAGCAGTTCCTGAAGAGCTGCTCTGCTGCCTGTGGGGAGTCCTCACAAGATCATTTCGGAAAGGATGGCATCCTGTGGGAGGCACCCTGCGTGGAGCAGGGCAGAGAGGGACCGTGAGGGAGCAGCAGAGATGAAGCGTCAGGGACTGACTGCAGCCCCCATTCCCTGTTCCTCTGTGCTGGTCAAGAGGAGGAGGTGGCGAGGATGGATGGAGGGCAGGTGTTTGTAGCTTGCTTTTAGTTCTTCATTGTTCTAGTCTGTTAGTAATGGGTAATAAATTACTTTAATCTCCCTATGCTGAGTCTGTTCTGCCTGTTAAGATAATTGCTGAGCGATCTCTCCATCCTTATCTCAAACCTTCAGCCCTTCTTCACTGTATTTTCTCCCCCTCTTCCTATGAGGAAGTGAGGTGGAATTTAGTTGGCCACCAGGGTGAAACACCACAAATCCACCACATTTTTTGTCCTTCTTTCCTGCTGCACTGCCTGAGCCGTTGCTGCTCTTTTGTCCCTTGCCTCAGCTGATTCTGCAGCAACGCCACAAGCAGAGGCACAGCATGCTTACCTTGTAACCCCAAGGTGTCTTCCCTACCTGCATGTGTTTTGAAGACATTTTAGATAGCAAGGATGCACCACAGCAGGGTTATCTCTTTCCAAGTAACACCAACCCTTGTCCTCCTCTCACATCCCCCGTTCCCACCAGCACTAGCCAGCTGGGGCTCGCCACGTGGCCTCCACTTGCCTTCCTTCAAATACCATCTGAAAACATTTTCATCCCCCAGAGTGTCTTTCTGAACCCATGACAGACTCCTTCTCCCAGCTTCTTGCTCAGCTTTGTGATATTAATGAATGAAAAGCCTGCTCTGAGACAGGGATGTTGGCCAACAGGAACTTCACTGTTGACGTTACACATCAAGCGGTGCCAAGAACATAGTAGGTCTTAACAGTTAGAGAAAAACAAATACTGGGCTCTGCAGCCTTTTGGTGGGAACACTGTTTCTGCAAACCCAGGAGCCTGAAATGAAACAGGAAAATTTCTCCATAAATGTCCAACCCACCTTTGATTCAGAGTGCTGGGAAGGGAAGGGAAGGGAAGGGAAGGGAAGGGAAGGGAAGGGAAGGGAAGGGAAGGGAAGGGAAGGGAAGGGAAGGGAAGGGAAGGGAAGGGAAGGGAAGGGAAGGGAAGGGAAGGGAAGGGAAGGGAAGGGAAGGGAAGGGAAGGGAAGGGAAGGGAAGGGAAGGGAAGGGAAGGGAAGGGAAGGAAGGGAAGGGAAGGAAGGGAAGGGAAGGGAAGGGAAGGGAAGGGAAGGGAAGGGAAGGGAAGGGAAGGGAAGGGAAGGGAAAGGAAAACTGCAAGTAGGCTACTCCCTGGTATTTCTTGAGATTTACTGGGCCAGAGGGACCATCCCAGCCTGGTGTCTGATCTTCCCACTTGTAATGGCTTCTTCTGTCAGTCTTGTGATAGGTCTCTGAGGATGCTTTACACCTCTTTGGTGCCTGCAGCACCAGTGAGAGAGACCCTGAGGAGTTTCTCTGTCATCAATGCTTCACATCGTGATTATTCTCACCTAGATGACTCCTGCAGGTTGAGAAAAATGGCAGGAGGGAGAGGCAGAGGAAGGAGAAGAGCTTGGTAATAAACGTTGTCATTCCTAAAACCTACACTCCATAGCGCTGCACCTACCTCCTCCTCAGATGTGGGCAGTAAGCTGAGTGTTAGATGCAGGAAGGGGTTGGCATCCTACCTGTCACCTTCTGAGAAACCTCATGGGAGCTGTTCAGAAAGCAGTTACTTTCACAGGTGTTGTGCTCCCCTCCCCCATACTGTTTGATGAATTTTTAAAAAATGCACAAAGTCCTCGAATGCCCCAAATCTTCCTCAGCATTTCACAGAGGCACCAGCTTTCACCTCCCGCTGCGAAGCACCAAGATCCTGCAGGTCTATTTCCTCCTGTAAAGCGTGTGTTAAAGAAGCGGGTAAGGCACGAGTGGGGGGGAAACCAAACAAATTTGTCCTCAGCTGTGCACTGCTTCTGGCAGTGGGGTGACTCAAAGGGAAACCCAAGCGCTGGTGAGGGAGGGAGGAAGCGCCTGGCAGGCTGATTTCCTCTGGGCACTCGGTCAGGGGTTAGCTCGCTCCGGGTTCCTGATTTCACCGGGAAGCCTGTGGGGTGGTGAACATCCTCCTGCTCCCTAACACAGGTGAGTTTCGTCACAATCACTCCATTTCTGATTTTCTTATGTGTACCTATCTCTCAGTATCTCTACATGCCAAATTTTAACTTCCTCTTTATAAGGCGCCGAGAACCAAAGAGATTTTAAGGCCAAAGGGTTAGGATTTCACTAGCCCAGGAAATGTGTATTATTTTGTTAACAGGAAAGACCTGATCTTTCCAAAGTGCTTAATTGTTCTTATCCAATGCCCCTTTTCTTGGCTGAGCCCTGGCCTCTTGCAGTAATGATGTTTTCAGATTGTCAGGGACAGAAAAAGAAAAAAGAAACTGGCTGTGGGGCAACCAAGAGGAAGTGGTTTGCACGACGTTTCCCCTCCTTCTCATCTTTCTCTGTCTGGACTTATTTGCTTTCCTTTTCTCCCCCCACACACCTCCTTTGGCAAGCATGTGCCCCAGAATAAGCCCAGGAGGTTTCTTGTTATGTTGCATTTGAAAGCTGGGCTGGGAACGAGAGATCGGTCTTTTTCTTCATAAATAAAAACGTGAAGCACACGATTCATCCCAGAGAGGGAGGAAGGGTAACAGGACGAGACGAGCTGGGGGAGACCAGGCAATCTGTCCTCTGCGAGGAGGGATCTGATGCCCCAAAATGCTTCGGTTTGCCCTGGGAAGATGTGTGTCCGTACCCTGCTGTGGAAGCAGTGAGAGCGAGGTGTCCGAGCCCTGCTGCCCCTCCTGCAGAAAGGAGAGGGCAGGAGGCAGGCAGGGCATGTGGTGGGTGCAGGGGGGGGTGCTTTTGTTCCGAAAGCCACATCCTGTCCGGCTCAACCTTCCTGATCATCCCAAGGCTTTCTGCAGGGTGAGCCTGGCGGGGAGGTGTCCGAATGCTGAAGAACAGCAATGGAGGAAAGCAAAAGCAAAGTGATTCAGGAGCGTATGCCCATGGCTCCCAGGGGGCTGCACTTCATGGAGGAGGTTTGCACTGAGATGCTGGGATCAGAGGGAAATGAACAGCTCAGAGGCCCAGGAACAGATCCTGCTTTTCTTTCAAGCAGTTTTGGGGTGAACGTTGCATTTCCAGTGACGCTTGCAAGAGGTCAGAATACGGGCAGAGGTCTGGAAGCCTGCCCAGATCGTCTATCTGCTCCTAACATTTCTGGCAGGGAGAGAGCATGCAAGTGGCAAGCAGCAACAATTACCCTCGGTGTCCTGGTGCCTGCTGGCTGCTGCTCCAGGACACAGACCCGGGCAGCCCTTTTCCAGGTCACGAGCACAAGCATGGCATGAAACTCATGAAGCCCATGCAAAAAGTGTTAGTGTGACGCCAGGTTGTACAAGGAGGAACAGGAGAGCACACCAGAACCACGCTGAAATTTGTTCATGCTCAGCCAGCCAGAGGTGAAGCATTGCCACTGTGCTGTGAGGAGCTCCCAGCATGAATTTCCCTGGGATCTGCCTCTCCCAGAGAGGTCTGTGCACTGGCACATGCTGCAGAAAGCCCACAGCGTGTTTATTGCTTCTCCTGGTGCGTGCAGTACAGCCTGGAGAGCGATCAGTGTGAGGGCTGGGAGGTGAAAGGGAGCAGCGCTCGTGCACCAGCTGTCTCACTTATTTTCTGGGAGCTGGTCCAGTGCCACAGGACAAGCCTTTGTTTTGCAGGGAAAGCACAAACTGCTCGGTTCCAGCCCTGCTGGCCAAGGCTGTTCATCCCCACTGAGGTAATGGAGCAGCACTGACTGCCATCGGGTCACGGTGTGGCCAGATGTGGTGGCTGGCATCGGGTACTGGTGGGCACCAGTGATGGCCAAAGACCTCCAGCTGATCCCATCAGCCTCAGCAGATAACATTCAGCAAATCCTAGCAGGATTTTTTTTTCCTATGTTCCTATTTCTCACAAAACGGCTGAGGCTGGAAGGCACCTCTGGAGGTCACCTGGTCCAACCCCTGCTCAAGCAGGGCCACACAGAGCAGGCTGCCAGGACCACCTCCAGGTGGCTTTTGAAGATCTCCAAGGAGGAGACTCCACCACCCCTCTGGGCAACCTCTGCCAGTGCTCCATCACTGAAACAGTGAAGAGTTGTCTCCTGATGTTCAGAGGGCACCTCCTGTGCTCCACTTGCTGCCTGTTGCCTCTTGTCCTGGCACTGGGATGTTTCCCATGTCTAACTCCAGAGGGACTTGGCTGCTTCTTAAGCGTTACTTTTTTAACTGGAAGCTCAGCTGAAGCTGCTATTTTTAACCATAATTTTAAAATTTCTCTGCTATCAGCACTCCTTGGACCTCTTGTGCAAATCTGTGAGTGCCTGGGACTCATTGCTCTACTCTGACACGAAAAGTTCAGGCTCTGTGTGACTAGCAGGTGGAGAAGGCTTCACAGCTTCAACCACAGCTTCAGGAAGACCTGGTTTCCCCTCGCTCTGCCAGCAGGTTTTGCTGCCTTGGATGCTGACCAGCTTCCCAGGCGTGCTGCTCTCACACCATCTGGGCTCTCCTCCTGCAAGGTCACGCAGCCAGCAGGCCGGTAACTGGGTTTGTAGTGACAGCAGCAAACTGGAAATGCTTCCAGCCCCTCGAGGTTTCCCTAATTTACCTTCCCTGTGCAGACCACGGGCAGCCACCCACCCGTGCTGTGTCCCCACAGGGCCGAGATGAGAGGTCATCTTGCCCTGCAGGGCCCTTGTGGGGCTGGCTTTTCTCTTTCCCAAGCCTCCTCTCCTTCTCACCTTGAAAACACAGCTTGGAAACAGTGGCATGAATTCCCTCCAGGTTGGTTCCCCTTGATCTGCCGGGGCTTCCCTGCTGGCCTTGGCCCCACCAGAGCCCCAGAGGACTGCTTGCCCCAGGGCAGGAAGAGTGGAAGGCCCAAGAGCTGTGCAGGGAGTGTTTTTCTTCCTGCTGCATTGAACACTCCGTGTCCCGGATGACCTCAGCCGGTGTTTGGTTGTGCCCTGAGCCCTGTTTCCACATTATTATACAGACTGGGTCACAATGATGTCCAGGAGGTGTTCTGCAGAGCTATCACCGCTCCGTTATTTTTTGCTGAAATGACCTCTTACACCCTCACCTGGTATCATTGCACCAGAGCCGAGAAAGGAAGCAAATGAAAAAACACAGTCCTGACTACCCCTCTGTAAAGAGCACAGACTACACTTTCTTTTTTTTCACCCATCTTCATAAATCTGTCCTCAGAAATGGCTTCAGCTAGTAGCCCCTTGGAACGGCACTGTGTCCAGACAACACAACCCAAGCAGTTCCCCAACTGCTACACCACAAACTGCAACATTTTTTTAGCCAAAGATAAAGCTTGATGGTTTAAGGAATTAATTCCTGCCAGCTTCTGGTGCTGGCACTTTCCGTTCCCAACGAATGTTAGAACGACCCCAACAGCTGGATCAATGGTTTCACAAGAAGCAGTTTCCAGCTCGCGGCTCAGCGGTACATGAAAGTGATTAGCAATCAGGAGGAAAACTGGGACAACGTCAATCTCTTGGGCTGCATCTGCAGTGAGCAGGCAGGATTGCCCATGTCCCAGCCCTGTCCTCTCCCCCTGAGGATTACAACATTTCTTGACGACCTCCATCACAAGCCAAAAACTGGGAGTCTTCTTCTGCCGAAGATCCGAAGTCTGGGAATTCAGGCTAGGAAGCCTAAAGGAAGGATTCAAGCAGGCGTGTACCAGCTTCCTTGCGCAGACTAGCACAGCCCTGCAGGAAGGCATCATCACACATCATGTGTAATTACAGCCGGGGTTAAGCAAAGCAGAATTTGCTAAGATGTAAATGGATCTCAACCTGCATCGATCATTATGAATGTGAAACTCACTGATCTGAACACATGCAATTCTCTCTGCACCCCTCCCCTTTTTTTTCTTTTCTTTTTATTTTTATTTAGCTCTTTGCCTTAAGGTAATTTGCATTTTGGCTCCTTTTCACTTTATGCAGAGCTTGTTCTACCCTGGTCCACTGCACACCCGATGCTGCAGCTTCCAGTGCTTGTATCTACAGCAGAAGGCAAGCAAAAGCAAGGATTTCACCAGCAAATGGTGACCTAAATACAGCAGTGTGTAGATACATGTGGGATGTGTGGGCACAGATGGGCACTGGGTGCCAGGCCAGGACGAGCAGAGGCTTTCTGGACCGCATGTGGAAGCAGGGTCCAGCAGCCTCCTCCAAGATACTCACATTTGCTCACCCACCTGCTCCCCACCAGGGGCCTGGAGGCTTCCTCCTGACCTCCAAGGGATATTTGCAACTTGATTTTCCGGGCTCCTGCCCTGGTTTGGTGGTTGCATCCTCCCAGACCTTCTGGTGTGCCTCTCAGACCCCTGCACTATCCCGGTTTGCCTCCTTCTACATGCATTTGGGTGATATTTTAAATCCCGCTCTTCTTTTATGGCATTGTCTGGAACAAAATAAATAATTATCAAAATAAATAATTATCCAGGCCCAAAAAGAGCGAGGGAATTTCAAGACGATGTTTCCCATTGCTGTTTTCTGCATGCAAAATCAGAGACAGGTCTAGCTACTGGCTTGAGGAATAAGTAAATAACTGGAGGACAGTCCATAATCCAGCACATTAAAGCCAAACTAGCAGCTTAGTTTAACAGCAAGCAACGCAAGGTGACCATTTGTCATTTAGACCTGTCTGACCTCCAGAGCAGTGCTGCCAGCAGAAATGGGATTGCTCTTGAGATGCCCTAACAGGTTGTAAGGAGTAAGCTGAGGTGTGGCTTGGCAGCAGGGAGGACAAGAACTGGTCAATAAAGGGGGCTCGAGAAGCTCTGTTACCGTGTTATAGGACCTGCTTTCCTCCCAGACCTGCAGAGGTTAGCTCTCTGCAGCATGCTGGTTTTATTTATATATAAATATATTTTTATAAATTTATATTTATTACATTTATGCGCCATCCCTTCGGGAGCAGCACGTCCTCCCTTTCTGCCTGCTGCTGAGGAGAGCAGTGGGATCCGGCCTTAGAAAGCAGCGACTCATTAAATTGGGAGGGAAGGATCTCTGGGGGATTGCAGGCTTGGGGTAATTATTTTTCTGCTGGCTTTCCCTGACATCCTCGCTGGCACAGTCACCTGAGGATGCCTTTCATGGACGCTGAAAGACACCTCCCTTTCCTGCCCAAGCAAAATCTGTGCAGTTAATGACCAGGCTTCCTAATGAGGCTGTAAGTTAGGACTTCTTTTGGCCTTCTCCCAGCTACATGTATAATCCTAAAGCTTCTGTATAGTGTCCATTGCTTCCTGCTTGGTCTCTCTCCAAGCCCTGTGCCTTTCCCATTTGCATGTCACTGCAGCTGGCACCTGCCCAGTGCTACCGTGGAAATGACCTTCCTTGAGTGGGACCTGCCTGCTGTCACCCACCCCACAACACTTATTCCTTCCTGCAGAAGCATCACCCTGCACCTGACGCTTGCCTTCTGCCCATTGGTGCTGTGCTGCTATCCGAATCCTCTGCTCACTCTCTCATCCTGACACCTGGCACTTTTGCTTCTCTTTCTGCTGCTGATGCCGGCTGCAGCTGCAGCTCAATCATAATGTTTGGTGCGTTATTTTTTTTTCTCCAAACCCCTTCATTTTTTCCTTCTCATCCCCTTTAAACCGACAGCTGGTGCCCCCAGTAAGGCTGGGATGGTCTGAGGGACACAGCTTTCTGCTTGGCTCTCCTCCTGACTTCAGAGGTTAGGGAGCAGGTGACAGAGATCAGACAGGCTCCTGTTGGATGCTTTCGTGTGACAGTGCTCACGGGGCAAGAGAGGCTCACTGCTGAAAACCCCGTTGCTTTGTTGGAGGTGCCAGGAGCAGGAGGGGCTGCACAGCAAGAGCTTTCAGACCATGACTGCAAGGTCGCCACTCCTCCGTGATGTCAGCCTGTTTGCTCTCCTCTGAAGGAGCTTCTTTGTCTGCTGCCCCAGCAGGATCTCAAACCCCAGAAACCCCAGGGCTTATCTTATCCCAGTCTGCCTTTTTTTTTTTTTTTTCCTTCATACTTCAAAACCCCACCAAAAGGGAGAAAAGCTACACCCCAGGGTCTCTGCACACCACATTTTTCTAGGAAAGCCCAATAACCAACAGAACCCTGGACAGCCCACATGTCTTCATATTGGGAAACCTGAAAAAAAAAAAGGAAATAAAATAAAATAAAAAAAAGGATCTCCCAACTTCCTGATGGCTGCAGAACAGCCATTTGCAAGCACATTGCCCTGGCACCCCCGTGCCAGCCACCCTCTAGATGAGGTTCCCCCGTGGGTTTGCTGAGAGGAGAGAGACGTGCAGACAGCTCCACTGCATGGCCTGGTGGTGGTGGGGCTGCTGGCAGCCTACACCAGTGAGCACACCTGGTAGGGCAGTGGGTCATCCCCAGGCCATCCCGCCACCCTGAAAGCTCCGTATCAAAGCACAGAGGCTCTGCCCACAGGAGCCAGCCCCTTAGGCTGGAGGTGGGGGCAGGAGGTACCTGCCCAAAGCCCCTTCCCTGCTGTCCACTGCAGCCTGGGACTGACCATGGGCATTGTGCAACTGGAGCTTGATACTCAGGACTATACCTGGGTAATAAATCTCCTTCCAGAAGCATCAGCATGGCTTTGAACCTTTCCCACCTATGGCATCCTTTTTTTTTTACTGCACAGATGCCTCCTTCTAATTCCCACCAGGACTTTGCTGCAGCCCTAAACCGGTGTTGATGCCACCTCTGCAGGTCAGTGGTACAGGAATACCCTGGTACTCTGAGCAAGGGAAAATGAACATCTCAGCTCCAGTCTAAGGAGCTGAGGCTGATTAAACCATGGAAATCTAGTCATCAAATGTCTTTTGCTGTTTCAGAATAACTTTCCTGAGCAAAGGAGGAGGTCTTGACCTGCGTCAGGGACGGTGGAGCCCAGGTGCTGGCTGCGCTCAGGGAAGTGGGAGCTGTGAGCCCATCTCTCTCCTGCTAGGAAAATGCCAGTGCCTGGTATTTAATCTGAAAATGCACTGACACTTCAATTGAAACAGAAAGGTCATGAGTCAGAGTTTCCCTCTGAGCATGGACTTACTTCTTCTGAGAATGAATCGAGCACTTCTGACCCGCTTAGCAGGAGCAACATGGGAGTGAGTGAAAGCCTTGCTGTTTACGGGGTGAGACTGGATCGGGCACTGAGGCTGCAAAACACCACAAGTGTAACTGCTTTCCCTCTTGTCCAAGAGACGTTTTGGTCCTGGCATGACAGTGAAAGCAGAAAGAACTGCAGGTATGACTTTGGGCCTCACGTGGCTCACTGGAAGCACCAGTGATCTTGTTTACATTGAAACCGAGAGCAGGCTCAATGCTGCCGCTGAGATGAGATGATTTTTGTGGCTGGTTCTGATTGCCCCATATTACCTCTTTCAGTACTACCATCTATTTATTAAGACCAGACCTGACTACAACAAATGGTGCCTGTATGTGGTGCCCCACTCCGTCTCATTTCCACCCCACGGGAACGTGGCCATGACACACGGGCTCAGGTGTCCCTGGACATGTCACTTTGCTCCCTTTTCTCCATCCTCCCGGCTCTTCGAAGCTGGACCCACACGTATAGCAACGTTCTTGGGGTGGAGGCAGGGATGTGGGGTGTCTTTGGGTGGGACCTTGAGCACCCCACTGTTAAACACACCTGTAATGACCCCCACACAGAGCAGCTTGTTACAGAATCGCCAGTCAGACAGATCAAGCTGCTGGTTCGGGGGGGGGGGGATAGTGTCTTGGGCAAAATTTGTTCACAGGGCAAAACTCTCAAACAGCCAGAAGCATTTCTACTGCAGTTTTCTGCATCTGGACCTTCTGCTAGGAGATAGTTGCGTGTTTGAGATGTCTTGAGTAACAGAAAGAAATAAACAGCATGTATTATTTAGCATATTAAAAATAGACACAAAGTAGGACTCGAATATTGCTCTGTGTTCATATTTTTTTACCTAAGGTAGTTTAATTCTCCATAAAAACAGCTCATACAGCCCTGAAAAAAAATAAATCATATGTCTAGCATAGAGGTAACATTGATCAAACCTGGTAAATATTTAAGCTGTTCACATCCTGTGATTGCCTGATCAGTACCAACCATCACTTCTTGCACCAAGCATGAGCAATGCCCATCTGCAAACAAATATTCTATTTTTTTCCTGGGGAATTAGCATCCAATATGAAACCCTTGCCCATTAAAGATGAGCACTGTCAATGTAAGCAGCACATTTGTTTCTGTTGGTTAGGTCCAGACACCAAGGGCTGACGTGACCATATGCAAAACACAAATTCACTGGTCTGTTTGGAAAACAAGGTGGGGATAGGACTTGGGAATGATTTCCTGAAGTCTCTGGTGCAAAAAGCCCTTGGGTTGTTTGCACAAGCATCTGTGCTCTTTACAGACAGAAAGCACTGTAGGTCAGCAGGCAAACCTTTGGCAAGCAAGATTGGCAGAAGAAAAGAGAAAGATGAAGGGACAAGTGAAAAAAAAAGCCCACGTTCCTCCTCATCTTCTGAATTGCAGGACACGCTGGGAGGGTTGCTGTTACATGTGTAATTGCTATATGTGCCCTTGGAGGCCCATCAGTATTCTCGTTGGGTCTAAAAGGAGCTTGTGGACCTTGGTGCCCCTCCGGGTTGCTCTGCTACTCCTCATCAGGCTCAAAATTATAGCATTAATAGAATAACTGTGCCATGGCAGCAGGCAAAGAAAGGCATGGCACATGTAGCACAGTTGCATGGGGAACAACCACGACCCAACCAGAGAAACCCATGGTGAGGGAAACCTACAGAATACCTGACCTGGAGCTGACACAGAGCAGAAAAAAAAAAAAGAATAGAAAAAAAAAAAAAAGAATGGAGAAAAAAGAGGGTGGATAGTGCCAAAGGTAGTATGGCAGCAGGAGATAAAAGGCGGAACTGTTATCTGTGGCACGAGCAATAGCAGGGCAAGCAGTGGAGCAGGAAAAGCAGCACAGAGAGCTGGAGCTGGCGGCTAGCACAGATGCTGAAGAGGATTTCTGAGACCTGTTGTGAATCTGTGTGTGCAGGCAAAGCGTCAGCACACGTAAAGGAAAACCACAGCCAGCAGTGCCACTGGAACAAAAAACTGAGGCTCAGCAGCACGCTGGTACGTGAGCACTTCGCAGCTCCTACCCAGTCAGTAGCCAAGTTGTGTGGTGCAACAGGGAGATGCCCCTGCCCCAGGCCTTCACAGAGTGTTTTAAGGGAGAAAAGACAAAAAAAAAAAAATAGCCTGTGGGAGGGGTTGGCTTATTTACAAGCACTAGTAAGCACTTTTGGGAAAGAAGCAATTTTTATAGCACACACACTTACCCGTAAAGACAAAAATAGGGATATTTTTGCAGTGAAGGACACGGGTAAATAAAATATAAAACAAAAATAGGGATATTTTTGCAGTGAGTGAATAGCAGTGAGGGACATGGGTTGGTGATGGGATGCAGCAGGTCAGGCTGATGGTTGCACTTGATGATCTTGACAATTCCATGAAAGCATGCCGTGCCTGCCTGTCACTTGTTCTTCATGCCCTTTCAGCGAGCCAGGGTAGCTGCCACAGTCACAATTCTTCAAAAACCCACCCAAAATCCTGCTGTGACAGGAGGAGACCGGTCCAGACTGGGAAATAAATTCTTTGGAGGTTACGAAAGAGACAGAAGTTGCATCCATGACAGGAAATGCCAGAGACTGAAGTGTTTGAAACTGGGAGAAAGCTGAGGGGAAATGCCAAACAACTTCTTGCAGAGATGATGCTGGTTCCTAGACACCCACTTACGGCCCCATAAGCATCCATTTACGGGGCCAGACAGAGGCAGGATACCGCACTTCTGGGATGCGTGGCCCATGCTGCTGCTGCGGGTACAGGGGCACCAAGGGCCCAGCCTCAAGCCCACTATCACCAGGTGTTATCATGAGAGGGAATTTATTGCCTCTCGGCTGCTGACTGATGCAGAAGACAGAGACGGATGGCTCTGCGTGCCCGAACCTGCTGCAGAGCTCTTTGCTCGTGTGAGGGATGAGTCAGCCAGATGCAGAGCAAAGAACAGCTTCCTGGTGTTTGATCCTAAAGCCCTGTGTCAGGAGCTCTTTCGGTATCTCTCAGCAAGAGCACAGGCACAGCAACTTCCCTACGTGCCAAGAGTTTCCACGTGAGAGGGGGAGAGTCTCCCCTAAAGCAGGCATTTCAGAGTGGTGGAGCTTTCCTGTGGGAAGCAAGCTAAAAAGGAGCCAGCTAAGCCAGTGCTCGTGCTGTTCCTGCTCGGGTGAGCGGGTGAAAAAGCCTCTGTTTCCTCGTCCTGTTCGGGTTCAGACACACAGAGGTTGTCCAGGGCTCCTCCCATGCCCTTCAGGAAGCGGGGTCTTCCTTTCACTCCCCAGACCACAGAAATAGCTAAAACAGCAAAACAGGAGCAGCAAAAGCTGCCAGGAGCACAGGGTGCCCTGCTGCCTGCACTGAGCACAAGCAGCACGAGGATCGATTTCCAAGGCAGCACAACAAAACAGCGTATTGCAAGTCTGCTGCACAAAACCAAAAGTCCTCAAGACCCTCCTAATGTGTGCATCGTGGTGCCTGAGGAGTGTGTCACCTCCATGCCAGGCCGTCAGCAGCCAGCTTGGTGAAGCAGGGGCACTGCCCTGGTGAAGGACTCCTCACACCCTGCCGTGGGATGGAAATGGGTTCCCCAGCTCTGCTCCTGCTGCTGGAGGAGATCTCCACGCCCACCCAGCAGCCCCAGTGGGCTGGATATCTGCCCACCACAAGTGTGGTCCTCCTGTGGCGTATGTGCGGAGGGTCTGCTGCACTGGACAGGCTGGGAGGTGCCAAGGGCACAGCCTCAAGTGTCAGGCAGAGAAGCAAAGCCACTTGGTGCATTTCTCCTGAAGTCCCTGACCATCTCTAAGTACACCAAGACAGAAATGCAAGTCTGATGGCCAAGGGCTGAAAGGGCATTTCCTCCCAGCTGCCCTCCCAGGAGAGAAAACATTTCAGAAAACTTCTTCAGGAAAGAAGTGCAAAAAGAGGTGGATCTGGCAGAGAGAAGGGGAGATAAACAGAAAGAGCTGTGTTGAAAACAATTCTCTTTTGGTTATTTTTGTCAAAAGGGAATCATGTTGTAGAGCGGAGAACAGTTTGCAGTGGTAGCAGGTGCAGAAGTCCAAGCCAGCAAACATTTCAAATGTGTCTGCGCATCTCGTTAACCTCCAGCGACATCCTCCCACACTGCAGCAGAAAGGCCAGAAAAACCGGGCAAATGAACCCACTGAAAGAAAGCTGAAATAAAGGCAGGAAAGCTTGGTGAAGAGCTTTTTGCAAGGTACGTGAGAGCAGAAGATGTCTGAGAGCCTCCTGAAACCGGAGGGCTATCAGCAGCAAAGACAGGTAAAGATAGGTAAATACACTATTTAAGGTAAATAGGTAAATATGCTGCTTAGGTATAGGATAGGTAAATATACTATTTATTTATTTATTTATGTGTTTGTTTATTTATAGTGCTCTGAAATTGCTGAAAGCTTTGAAATACCTCGAAAGAATCGATTGTATGTAATATGTCTCCAGGAGTCTCGTTCCCCTACCTCCGCGGCTGAAAGGCGCAAACACTCCGTTGGCCTCGGCATGGAAGGAGACCTCTATTACATCAAGTTTTTATCTCAGACTTAGGAGGACGATCGATAACAACGGTGCCCAATACCTCCATGTTCTCCCAGCATGACCAAACATGCGCAGAGGTTATCTGTGCTCTGAAGAGAAGAGCACAAGCCTGTTTTGTTGTTGTTGTTGTTTCTTCCTTCAAACTCCTTCTGCAGATCTGTTGCTACCATGTCATTGCCCTGTGAAATTACGGTCCGAGGAGATATCTGGCTTGATTTCAGGCATTATGCCAGCTGCTTCAGGAGGGGAAGTATCCCTTCCCATGGCACCAACAAGGAATCACTTGGTGCTTCTTTTCAAAGTCATGAGCTGAAAGTAAAGACCTCCTAGAGCAACAACAGCTTTCCACAAGGCTTGTTGGGAGTGTGTCCTCAAGGGCAGCTGAAAATGTTGGCTGCCCTTGTTTGGTGTCTGTCAGTGTGGTCTCTGTGGCTGTAAATGATCGCAATTGATCCTACCCGAGCTGTTGCTGCAGGCAGTGCAGGGCTCCCCATCTGCCTGGCCTGAGCACCCCTTAATTACAGCCCGTGGAGAACTGGGGATAAAATGGGACTCTAAGGTCTGCTTGGCTTATCCCTGTGTGAGCAGCACTGTCTGGGTGGGTGGCAGTATGAAATAATGGTAGCCTAAAACAAAGCTTAGCGATAACAGCCCAGCGGTGGGGGGTTTTCTGGTGGAGAGGTGAAAGGGCTCCCTTTTCCCATCTGTGTTAAGATTGGTTTGGATAATGGTAGCTGCAAAGTGAAGTTTCAGAAGGAGCAGTGCCAGTTGTCCCAGTCACGGCTCCTTCTGCCTTGTTTCAAGTAAATATTTGTTTAAATTTTGGTCCCTCGATTTTTACAAGTTTATGAGGTTCATTCCTGTAAGCAAGTCAGTATGGTAGCATAAGGACAAGCTTTTTTTTTTTTTTCCTTACTTTTTTTTTTTTCTTATTATTTTTTATTTCCTGTAAAGCTTAGAGAAATTCTTCCCTGATCCTTAAAGCAAAATAAGCTTCTTCTGGAGCCTCTGATAGAGACCAGCATGTGATCAGTGCAGTAATAATCTTATCAGGCTGCCATTGTACTTTGCACAAGCTCCAGCGAAGAGGGGCAGCTGGGATTTATTTTTAAACTTAAAAATGATCATGAGAGAAGGAAGTGCTTTGGGAGGAATTAGTCATGGTTCACAATGATAATCTTTGTTAATGAAGCTCCAAGCAGGCTTCTATCCAGAAGCAGCAAATAATGAGGTGCAGAAATGTTTGCAACCCTATGGAGGATTCGATAATGAGGAGCCTAAGTAGAGGAGCTGAAGGAGCCAGCCTGCAGGACCTGAGGAATTATATTTATACCAGGGGCACAGTTAACATGCTAGGCTGGCAGTAAGTGTGAGGCCAGGAGCTCAGCTCTTAACAGGCTGCTGTGTGTGCTTGTAAAATTCGTGCAGGCCCCATGGGTCCTGCTTCTCCTCCTGATGTGTCAGCACAAAGAAAGACAGCCTTGTGTCTAAAGTTACCTGCAATCTGGAAATCTCTGCAATTTCCTGTGGCAATATCACATGGGGTCATGCCCAGGGAGCTGAAATCTTTCTCTTAACATGACCAGGCCCAAGCCATAACTCTTATCCATGGAGCACATATGAGGCCACTCACCAGCAAAGGACACAAAATCCATGCCCAAGTCCTTCTGCAGAGGCGCTGAGCCCCAGCCATGCAGAAAAAAATGCCCTGACTCACACTGCAGGCTGGAAGCACTAACCACAAACCTCAAAATCTGAGTTTGGGGCTTTCTCCTTCAAAACAAAAGCCTTGGGCTGAGGGACATTTCTCGCTGCAGAGCTGAAGATGTCTCCTGGTCTCAGGGTCCCTGTGGGTCTGCCCTGGTGCCAACCCAAATGAATGTGGTTCCCTAACTGCATGGTCACACACAGTCACAAGCCCGTGATTAGGGGTTTCTCCACAACAGCCTGCATTCTCCCACCCATATTGCCAAGTGATCCAGAAACCATGCTGCCTGTGAGACACCAGTGATCACCACAGGAAGGTTATGGAAAATCATCACCTGTGACTGTCAACCCAGTGGCCAAGTGGATGTGCAGGCCTGGAAGGTCAAAGCTATAAGACAAGCTATTTGATCTTTTTGGACTTCAGAAAAGCTTCTGACACGGTTTCCAATAGGATTCTACTGGACAAAATGTCCAGCATACAACTTAACAAAAACATCACACGATGGGTGAGCAATTGGCTGACGGACAGTGCTCAAAGGGTTGTGGTAAATGGGGCCACATCTGGCTGGCCGATGGTCACTAGTGGGGTCCTTCAAGGCTCCATTTTAGGGCCATTCCTCTTCAATGTTTTTATAAATGATTTGGATGTAGGACTAGAGGGTGTTTTGAGCAAATTTACCGACGACACCAAACCTGGAGGAGCTGTGGACTCGGATGAGGGTGGAAAGGCCTTGCAGAGAGACCTGGGCAGATTGGAGAGCTGGGCGATCACCAACTGCATGAAGTTTAACAAGAGCAAGAGCCAGGTCCTGCACCTGGGATGGGGCAACCCTGGCTACACATACAGACTGGGTGATGAGACACTGGAGAGCAGTCCCGCAGAGAGGGATCTGGAGACATACTAGATCTTGGATGCTCAATCCCACCATGTAGCTATGGGCTTGACAGCTTGCCACAATTAGAGGATGACACAGGGAGGCAGACGGAAGATGTTACCCCTCAATGTTGTCTCTGTCTTTGGCTTTGAGAAACTTTTGGAAAACTCAAAGACTCTTGCATGTCCTAGGCAACATGGCACTGACAAAGATCAAGGAGAGGTGACCTGCCCTTGTCCACAGCGAGGAACAGCTTTGCTTAGGCTTGCAGGCACTTTCTTTAGCTCTCTGAAAGGACACTACTAAATTGTAGCACAGATAGGTACTTCTAGTCAAGATTGTGTAAAATTGTTATCTGTTATCTGCACTTTCAAATGAGTTTTCCCTTGAACACCTTCAACAGTTTTATGGCCACAAGCAGGGTAGTGCAGGCAGCAATGCAGCCAGGAGGTCAAGAGCAGCAATTACTGCCTTCTCCCCGAGACCAAGAGGAGGATTGCAGAGAAGAAAGAGACAGCGCACAGCAAAAGGACAAAAGCAACTGTAAGAAGTCACAGTAAATGAAATCCTGGCTACACACAAAGGCAAAACCATTCACTGTGAGGAGGCCCATGTGGTGGAGCACAATGCCAAGAGAGGAGCGCAATTTCTCTCCTTGGGAGCTTTCAAAACTGAATGAATAAAGCCCTGAGCAGCTTGACCTAGCACTGAAGATACTCCAGCTTTGCACAGAAAACTGGCCTGGGCATTTCTAGCATTTCTTTTCCACCCAGACCAGTCCTCAGG